TTTGAGACAGGGTCTCTCTGTAGCCCCAGCTGTCCTGGAACTATGTAGACCAGGCTGGCCTTGAACTCACAGAGATCCAGCTGCCTCTGCCTCCTGAGTGCTGGGATTAAAGGCATGCGCCACCACGCCCGGCTGTTGTTCTTTCATTAAGTAGTTAAATTTATCTTTGTATTTACCATACATTTTTATATTAGTCTGTGTTAGTGACTTTACTCAGTATTGTGACCAAATAGAGAATCCCATTAGCTATATTTACTATAGACAGTAATACCCTCTGTTGAAATTATTTGACACCTTAGCTGTTCTCAGCTGCAGTCTTTACTTTTAGGCTGTTTTGTTGTTCTCCTTTTTCTTGTCACAGGGTCAGGGGGTCTGAACCTGGAAAAGGGTCTTTGAGAACACATCTTGAGATAATAGGCTTGAGTCTGAAGTGGGAGGGCCAATCCCATCTCCAGAGTCAGCTTCTCAATGAGCTCAAACAGCACATGACAATTTACCAATATAACTAATACAAAAAGGTATTTGTTTCTCTTTAGAATTTAACTTAATGGTCTACATTGGACAGGAGAGCTGTTGAGTCTAGTGACTACTAGCAGGACTGAAAATATCTGTCCTTCTTATAACCTGTATACATTTGTCTAGACCATTCTTTTCATCTACTGGGTCCTTTACTGGGAACAGGGATTGACAAGAGAGAACATTTGATTTTAAGAGGTCACCTTGCTTGATATTTCTAAGCTTTATTAAACCATGGACACTTGACAGTGAGCACCCATCATCAAGCAGGATTAGGTTGACAGAAGTATCTGCCTTTACCAATGTTAAACCTGAGATCTTCTCTGGCTATGATGTGACCAGATGCATGAAAGCTTATACCCACAATCAGTTAGTTTGTATCTATTCATGAAGACAACAACCTGAAAGACTCAATTAGTACCTTCCTCCTTGATATTTCCCATTACAGGCCAAATTTTGTATATCTAGACCAGGTCTGAGCACAGAAAAATATCAGCATCCAAATAGATCTCAATGGGTAAGGATACAGTCTAGCCCAACTTGTAAGACAAAAGAAGCTATCTGGAACGTCTCCCAAACCTTCATCTGCTTCTCCAGAGCGTCCTCTGGAGACTCTCATCCTTTTATAATGAGCGACCATGACAAAAGGCGACACTACCAACTTATTCACTATCACTCCATCATCGGTGTGAGCTTGAGGGAACCTGTATCCTCTCCTTCTTTACTAGTGACCCTAAAGAAGGGGGAGCCTGTTCGGAATTATTCAGTCTTACCGATGTGACCCTCTAACACCCTGGAATATTAATGGATTCTTTCTGCATTTTACCTGGTTAATCTTATCTTGCCTGTGCAGGGCACCACCATACATGAAACCATTGGAGTAAACATTGGCCCTGATGCATTAGGGAAATTAGCCAACTTTTAGTGA